CCTCGTCGGGGTCTTGTGTCCTCCCGCGTGTCCTCTCCAATCAGCCTCGACCGTAGGGTGTGTGTGTGTGTGTGAGAGTGTGTGTGTGTGAGTGTGTACGCTGCGGGGCACACTATACTGCGGCTGACCTTTCCCGCAGTGTTTGCCTAGTCTGAGTTTGATCTCATGCGTGCGCCCTCATCGCACACGCCTGACCCTTGATCGGGTCGGATGCTCTCTCGCTTCTCCCCCTCCCTCTTGCTTCGCCCTGGGCGGTCGTCAGGTGTGCGGTGCTGCTGCACCGGTTTCGCTCGCTAACTCCTCTTCAGCGCGTGAAGCGCTCTGTCGTGTCGTCCGCCCGCCCCTCCGCTGCACCTGGCCCATCTAGGTACTCCAGCTATCGGCTGGTCTGGCAGCCTTGCAGTTCTTCACCACTGTCTACATCGATCGCTGGCTGATTCAGTGGCAATTAGCACCAGGCTGCTCGCGCTTCAGTCCACCTTGAGTTGAGCTCGCCTTGGCTAGGTTACAGTCCCTCCTTCCCACCACCCATCTTTGTACGTCAGCGTTTGACGATTCTTTCGCTGCGCTTTCGATTATGCCCGATCGCAATTAGCATCCCCATTGGTTGCTCACGCTTGAGGCCCCTCTGCGCCGCTGGCTCAAAAGTGTATGTGTGTGCGTTTGTGTGTGTGTGTGTGTGTGTGTGTGTGTGTGTTCGTGTGTGCGTGCGTGCGTGCGTGCGTGCGTGCGTGCGTGCGCGCGTGTGTGTGTGTTTGTGTGTGTGTGTGTGTGTTTGTGTGTGCGCTCGCCCCACGCCGCCTGCGCCCCCGTGCCTCAATTCGCAAAGGATGCGTCCTGCCGTTTGCTCGACCGTTGGTTGGACCCAACTCGCCGCAGACCACCACGTGTTTCACATGTGAGTCCGGCCATGCGTGGCTCCAGCTTCCTGGGGGTGCCTCCACGACGTCGGACGTTGGGGCTGTGCTTTTGCGTCTGTGCCCTGCGCCGGGCGTGGCTGCGCGACCTTTTGGCCTCCGCCCTCGCCGAGCCTCTTTGCCCCGCTCCTGCTCTTCCCGCTTGGCTCGGTCGCGCGCGGTCGCGTCGGCTGTTCCCAACCCTCCGGGATATGCTGCTGCGGGGCGCACGGTGCCAGAACGAATGCGTGTGCGTTTTTTGAAGTATCAATCGTTTTGCGGAGTGCGTGAGCTGCAGCATGCAAATTCAATCGTGCAATTATTTTTTGCCAGTTGGGCTGAGACTCGCATTGCTCGTCAGGGAGGGTGTTCTCATCGACCCACTCTTTGTACTGTCCCAGCAATCAGGTGTACGATAAGCTTTTCTCGAAAGCAAGCAGTTGCGAAACATATTTGCACAACATATCGCTTGGGCGTGATCAGGCGTTTGAAAGTCAGGCTTGTCATCTTCAGCTTCCTGGGCCCTGGGATGAGCGTGCAACGTATTGTATGAACAAGCTGGTGCGTGAGTTCTCTACGTTGGCTTGGGCGGAGGGTTTCGCTGCTACACACACTGGCAATTTGTTCGTTCTGATTCTGCTTGCTTGTAGTGGGCGTCTGGCTGCTTCCATGAGGCGGGCAACATGTGCGTCCCCCAGCTGCTGATTCATAAGTCTGCTGCTGATCATGCGCAGGTTTCTGCGATCGCCCTTTTACCACAGAAGGCTGTTTTGAGGTGACGCTGTATCCTCTTTTTCGAGCAAACCATGAACATGCTTGTTGTAACCCTCTTGACTCCCTCCCAGTTCTCCAAAGCCATCGTCAGAACAGGCTGAAGGCTGCATGTAAAGATGCCGGCTCGGTTTCCTCCTGCGCCCCGGCCAGGCGCAGTTGTGCATGGAATCCTGGGAGGTAACCGTGATGCAGCTCGCCGCTGGCAGTGGTCGCCCGCCGCTCCCTTGCGTGTTGACTCCCCAGATCTCCAGCGGATTTTCGTCGGTCCATCTTTCCCCAAAGAGCGCTTACACTTCGGGCTTCTTGGCTTCTTATTCGTTTTCAAAGGAACTGGGCCTGCGCGTCGGTCTGTCGGCTATGTGGTCGCCGTCGCCGCCCCATCGCCGCATCGTCGCCGCCCGTCGTCTGGACGTGCGCCTCGATCTCGCGGCTGTGCGGTCGCCGTCGCAGCCTCGTCGCCGCCTCGTCGCCGCCTCGTCGCCGCCCGTCGTCCGGGCCTGCGCGTCGGGTCCGCCGCCTTGTGGTTGCCGTCGCCACCTTGTCGCCGTCCGTCGTCCGCCGTCTGGCCGCCTCCTCGCCGCCCGCCGCCTCGTCGCCGCATTGCTTTGCGTTGCTTTGTATCGTTTGCATTGCTCTGCGCCGCGTAGACTGCACCACATGGTCTGCACTACCCGCACTGACAGCACAGCCCAGACTGCGCCGCATAGATTGCAAGACATCGCTGTTTGGGGCCCACGCTGGCGACCATTTTTTTTTTTTCCCCTCCTTCGGTTTCGGACTGCAGGGCAGTTCGCGGCCCCCGGGCCCTGCGCAAACGATCCGGGATGAAGGACCAGCCCCAGGAACGGGGTCGGGAGCTGCAGGGCCCACGGACTAGGAGGAAACACCCCGCCAGACGCTTGGCTCCTCGATTTTCTCGGAACCCTTTCCTTCCGAGCTCCCTTCTTCGAGGGAGGAACTAGGGGGACCATGACCAAGATGCCGCGGGATCTTGTCGATGCCGATCTTGGTCATGGTCCATGCCGGCCGTCGCCGATTCGCGAGGATGGTCCACGAATCGACGCTGATCAAGGTCGACGGTGACCAAGATCGGCACGACGTTTTCCGCGTGCAGTCTTTGTCAAGGTCCTCCTCCCGCGAGGGAGGAACGGTGGGCAAGTGTAGGATTGACGGGTTGACGCGGGCACGACTTGCGAGGGGACTGGCCCTTGTGGAGAGAGCTCTGCCTCCAGACGCAGGCTCGCGCCTACCCCTGGGAAGGGTTAGCCCCCAAGGGTCGGAAAGCCTGGCCACGCCTGCCTGGAAGCTGCGCCACACGTGTCTGCCGCCCCCCCCCCCGTGCTGACGCAGGCATCAGGCGGCTCGAGAGAAGCCGAGGCGGCCCGCTTTTTCGCCACCCTGGCCCTCCGAAGGCCGACCAGTAGGGCCCCTTGTGGACCGCCAGGGAACAACCCGTGCACGTGTTCTTTGGTACCTGTCCGCCGCCGCGTCTCGTTCGTGCGGGTACCAGGCGCGGATTGCCTGCTTGAGACGGCGCGCGCAGATTCGCATCCTTTCCGCCTTCTCCCCTCCACCTCCCTCTGTCTCTGGTGTGGTAGAAGTGAAGCTAATGTTTCTATCCTGCGCTGCCCTGTGGTGCTTTCAAGCTGTGTTATATGTCGGCATCCGCGGGCGATCTATCTCCTGAGTGGCGCGCTCAATTTTCCCAGGGCCCCACTCGCACGCCTCACCCGAGCTGGTGCGATTGGTTTCCCTCGGGCCGCATACGGTTTGTGGCCGTCCCTTCTCCTCTCTTCTTCGTCTTCCCTTGGCACCGCTTCCGTGACGCGTGCATCTGCCTCGCAGGCCCGGGCCCAGGGCTTCTGTCCCGGGCCCGGCAGGCCCGCGGGAGGCCGCGTGCGCTCGGCGGCCAGAGTTGTGTGAGACCCGCGGGGCTCCGCGAGCTCCCTGCCCCTGCCCTTCTCCCCCCTCCTTCCCGCGGCAGAGGCGGCTCCTTCGGCCCCCTGGGCTGCCTTCCTGCCCCGTGATGCTCTCCAGCCAGCCGCGCCTCGCCGAGCGCGCTCCGTGGGTGCTCGGCGAGCTCCTGGAGCGGCGGCCAGAGACCCGAGCTGTGACCCGAAAGCCAGGCGGCCCTTCGCGGGAGTGGCCTCGGGCGGCGCGGCTCTCGGGGGGCGCGGGGGGTGGGCGTGGGGGCAGACCTGAAGCACGCACGCAGCCGCTGTCGCATCGCGTGGAGCAATCGGCACGCCAGCATCGTCTAGCCTACGGTAGGTTTGCGTCGTGTCGACCAGCGGCGACCCCAGCGTGGGCGTTCAAGGTTGAACGCCGCTGGCGACCCAGAATCGATCGACGTTGAACGATCGGACGTTGCGGCAGCGGCCGATCGTTCAAGGTTGAACGATCCCTGCGGTGTCAAAAACCAACGCTGGGGTCGGCACGACACGAACCTGCCGTATCCCCATCCCCACTTGGCCAGGGTATCTCAGTCCCAACAGCCCACCCACCCAGGTGGGAATAGGCCCGCGAGACCCGAAGGGACAGGCATATCCCCACCTAGGTGGGTCAGTCGGCCAGTGGGGCCAAGGCCACGCCAGCGGGGGGGGGGGTAGGGATCGGTGAAGCGATGCTCAGCAAGCCGTGCACCACTGGTCACTCTCGCCCAGGGCAGCCCGTGCGTGTAAAGCCGGGAGGATGAAGAGCTGGCCTTGGGGAAAGGGCCGAGAGTTGGAGCCGATTGGGGGCCTGAGGTGGCCCAGCATTGGTTCTGGCCAGCGTGAAGGGAGGGCGAGGTTCGAGCTTCTGGGTTCGAGAAGGTATTTTGCCTTTCTCTGTACCCGGGAGCTGGTTTCGGGCTCCCAGAACTGTCAAAAACGGATCGGGGGTGAACAACTGCGCCAGGTGCACAGATTTTGAGCGGATTTTCCCTTTGTCGGCGGCGAGCCCAGGAGGAAGTGAGAGGGGGCAGGCCTTCTCAGAAGACGGCGGGGCTTCTCAGAAGCCCTCGCGCCTTGTGAGGAGCCATCAGATTTGACGTTTCGAACAATCGCAACTTCGCAACAAATCACCACTTGAGCCCTGGACCTCATCTTTCTGCGCCATTTTTCAAGCCAGATCCGTCTGTCAGGGTTCTGGGGCCCGAAACGGGGTGAACCCGCCCGTTGTGACAAACTGCAGCGCCAGGATCTCAGGGCCGCCGCCAATTATCCCCGTCCAGCTCAGACCTCCTGGCCGCCCCCAAGCCGAGAGCCACTGGGTTGGATAGTAAATCACTGAAGCTTCCGCTCGTCTTGGATTGAATGTATATCGGCGAAGAGCGCCCAATAGTGCCTG